GGTGGCTTCTACTTTGACGCAAGGACGTGGACAGGAACAATAATGGAACTCGCCGCCCTTTGTGGGCCAGTGTTGCAGAGGTTGTAATGTCTGAATACTGTAAGGAATAACAATGCCCGTCCAGAGCCTGCCAGTCCGGGATGGGTCCTTTCATTTCCGTCTGCTCCAGCAGTATTTGATCCTCCTGAAAAAATACCCGATCCTCACGAAATCTATAACCAGGTCGGTTTCTGTGCTCCTAAACTGGCAGCTGTCCTTGTTTCCAGCTGTTTAAAAGTTCATTAGTAATGTTTACTGACTAACGGAGGAAATGGTTGTCGTTTCGTTTCATTATGCAGTTTTATAAGTCAGATTATTTATGACTGCTGCTGTTCCTGACCTCTTTGTTTGCACTGAGCACACTCTGGTATTAGCCAATCAGTATCTGCCATGAAAACCTCCTACTTAGAAGTTACACAGTTTTTTTTGTTTGTTTTTTTTTACTGCTTGTTGCACATTAACAGGAGAGTGTGATCTGTCTGTTCTTCATTCTTCCAGTGGGATCCTGTCCGCTTTAGGAAATCTACTTTCACAGTACTTGGAAGGCAGAAAAAAGGCCAAAAGTGGACGTCCAGCTGAGGAGATCGATGTGGCTGGAGCCACACGATATGCCATCTTTGGGTGAGACGAAGCAGAATACGAGAACAATGAGGGTGCATGGCACTCCAATAATATACCCATTCACCTTCTTTTACAAAATCACACTACAAGCACAATTGACCAACATATATGGGATGCGATGCATGGTGTTATTCAGAATGTTGCAATCCAAACCATGTTGTAGCTCTGGCTGCATGTTAAAGGTCATTGTTCTGCTGGAGGGCAAACCTCCACCCCAGTCTCAAGTCATCAGGAGGTTTTCTTCCAGCATTGCCCTTGACGTAGCTCCATCCATCTTTCCACCAACTCATCTGACCAGAGCACCTTCATTCACATGTTTGCTGTAGACTTTTAAAAGGCTGCTGTCAAGAAGTCCTACTTCTTGTCCCCCTACCATAAAGGCCAAATTTCATTCATTGCTGATAAGTGCACTGTTGACACATCCTCCCACCTGAGCTGTGGTTCTCCTCTACAGCTACAGTGGCTCTGCCACGTGCCTGTTTGCGGCTTCTCCTAAATCTACTGCAGTCGTGTCTTTGCAGTAGATTTGCAGTGGCCTCGTTCTGTTCTCCATGATGGATTGAACAGACCTCTGTGAGATGTTGTAAACTTCAGGATATTGTTTTATAACCTGACTCCGCATTAAACTTCTGCGCAACTTATTTATGGGTGTCACTGTAGGTGGGGTATGAAACCCAGTAACGTACTTTAAGGCCATGCGTCACCTTCATTTCCACTAGCTGCTACATTGTGTTGATCGTTCACTCAAAATGTAAATAAAAGACTATATTATGGTTTGTGATTCCAATATGTCAAATTGGCAAAAAGTTTGAAGAGTAATCACTTCCTCGCAGGCGCTGAGCATATAAATCCATTAACTCTTGGTAAATACACGGAGTTTTGTGTTTGTTACTGGTTTATTTTATTTTTTTTCCTCTTGTAGGTTGATTATCACTGGGCCAGTGAGCCACATCTTTTACCAGCTGATGGAGGTGTGGATGCCAACCACTGACCCGCTCTGCATCGTCAAACGACTGCTACTGGACCGACTCATCTTTGCTCCCGGCTTCCTGCTCCTTTTCTACCTTGTTATGAACATCCTGGAGGTGATTTCTTTTCGATCTCCTCAAAAGTGTCTATCAAATATATTAATGTGCTGCTTTCAGTAGAATATAGCTGTATTTTGTGATGGTCTGATCAGGTTTTTCCCAGCTAAAAAAAGATTCCTGGTTTTGTTTTGCTAATCAGAGACAAAAGAAGCTTGTCTGATTCCTGTGTCTGGGCCAGTTCTCATTTACATAATGGCTGGAATACTGAAATCCAAAATGTAATTAAAAATATGTGCTTTTGCATTCAAGCCCTCTTTACTGTAACTCTGAACATGAACCAAATATGAATGAGTATCATGCAGCTGATTTTCGTTATTTTATTTCCTGATGCTGGACTCTGTGTCTTGTCAAATTCTAGACTCCAGTTTCTACATAAATTTAATTTAAAAAACATAATATCACTTTTATATACTGATAAACATATTTTTGATGTGTAATATAAGCATAGAAGTGCATTAATTGCACATTAAATATACTTTACAGAAAATAAGTGTTTCCATGTTCCTCAGGCTAAAGGCTGGGACGATTTCCAGAAGAAGATGAGAAAAAGTTACTGGACTGCTCTGAAGATGAACTGGAAAGTCTGGACTCCTTTCACATTTATAAACATAAACTTTGTGCCTGTTCAGGTACGCTCCATCACTGACATCCTGTTATGTTGAGAATTAGGAGGAACCTCACACTGACTTCCTCTGTGACGTTTTCACCCTCTCCTCTCTTGACGTTTCAGTTTCGAGTGCTCTTCGCCAACATGATTGCCTTATTCTGGTATGCCTACCTTGCCACTGTGAGGAAATGATGCTTCTTTGAGGACTAACAAGATGCAACCAGCTTCCATATATGGCTGAAGATTCTTAACATGAAGCTGCACCGCTGATTACTAGGATACTGCTTTAAAACACTAGAATTAAAAGTATTTTTATGCTTTGTTTCGCAGGGACCTGTATTAAAAAAAACTCCAGAAAGTTTAAAATTCTGTCATTTTTTACATAAGCTGAGATAAAGAGTTTTTTTTTTTTTGTTACCTTAATGAGCTTTACCTACTGATCTGAACAAACACAGAAATAAAATACAAAAGAGACATGCCATTTGTCATGACTGACTTTTATTATTATTGTACTACATAATACATTAAAATTACACTTGTTTAAATACAAAAAAAAAAACAAAAAAAACTGGAATGTGTTCTTCATGTTGACAGCGTCCTCAGCCTCCTCTCAGACGCAGAGTCAGGAAGATGGTGCTGTGCTCCCTCACGTTGTAGTCAGATAACAGATTTCCAGACTGCATCTCCCGGCCCTCGTGGATCAGCCTCTGCTGGTTCGCAGGAACCCCCTCTCTCTTCTCCACTCTCTTCCTGAAGCCCTCCACCGTCTCGTCGGGTGTGACATCGTAGGTGCTGTTCGTCCCCTTCTCGTTTTTCAGGAACACCTGGAAGGTGGACGGCTGGGTGATCAGCAGAGACACCTGGGAGCCCGGCCCAATGTTGTAGGAGCTGATCGGCTTGGAGTCGTCGTTCAGAGGCGTGCTCGACCCGTTCGTGAAGACCAGCCTCTGCCTCGCAGCGGGAACCCCCAGCTCCTGCTGGATGCGCATCTTCAGAGAGCCCACCGTGTCCTGCGGGTTTACTTTCAGCGTGCGGGTCGTCCCGTTCAGCATTTTGATGTGTATATCCATTATTAAACTGGTCTGAAAAATAGTTTAAAAATTTTCATCACTTTTACAAGATGACAGTATTCAGAGGTAAGATCATAAACGTGTTGATTAGGAAGAGCAACTTACCTTGCAATGGATTTCTAATAATAATAATAATAATAATAAAAATGCCCTTCTAGCTTCAGATATCCGATAATCGTTGATCCTCAGCGGTTGTGCTCTGATGTTGGTCAGCTGTGTTTATATACAGACCGAGTCAGCCGGTCTGTGACCCTCCCACTGCACTTAAGATTCGTTTTCCCTCTCTGTCTTTAAGTTTCGGTTTCTTTTCTCCAAACATGAGTTTGCTGAATTGTTTTTCGTGACGCTGTGTCACGGCGTTCCCCGCATACCTGCACACAGGTGAGGTGGAGGAACGGCTGGGCTTCCCCCGCTTACCTGATGATGGGTGGAGGAGGGAAACAAAAACAGGACAAGAAGTCAGATGACGGCGAATCAACAGATGAAGTGAATGTGAGGTCCGTTACGGCTGAAACAAAACAGAAAATGAAAAGATCCGCCTGTGTGGCTCATGATCAAATGAGTAGGATTATATAATAAGAATAGAATAGACTTTATTGATCCCCAAGGGAAATTGGGGATTTTCCTTGGGAATCCCCAAGGAAAATTAGATTTTTTGAGGGAGCATTGTAAAGCCTAATGGCTACTGGCAGAAATGATTTTCTGTGGTGCACTTTGGCAAAATGAGTCTCTGGCTGATGGTGCTCCTGTATCCGGCCCGCAACGTCATGAAGTGGATGAGACTCGTTGTCCAACATGACCCTCATCCTGGACAGGATCCTTCTCTCTGGCACCGCTGTCAGAGAGTCCAGCTCCACTCCAACGACGTCGCTGGCCTCGCAGGTCAGTCTGTTCAGCCTGCTGGTGTCCTCCACCTTAAGCTGTACACCACAGCATGCAGGATGGCACTGACCACCACAGAGTCATAAAACAACCAGAGCAAAGTCCAGCAGATGTTGAAGGATCTCAGGCGCCACAGAAAGTAGAGGCGGCTCTGGCCCTTCCTGTAAGCAGGGTCATTGTTCTTGACCCAGTCCAGTTTATTGTCAATGTGGAGTCCCAGATGTTATACAATAAACGACCCCATAAGTTAAAAACAACAGTATGAATACATGTGAATGGTCTCATTCAAAGCGTTCTTTATTTTAGGAATTTGGAGCCTTTAGAGTTCTAATTGTTTTGTATGCTCTAGATCATCAAACAAATAAGATCAAAGTCAACCCAAATCAATATAAAATACAGTTTTCAAATGATTTCATTTATTAAAAGCAAAAACAAAAGCAATCCAAACCGGTCTATGTGGAAAAAGTAATTATGCAACCAATAACTCTTGGTAGCAACAGCTGTAACCAGGTGAACCAACACCTGCAGATGACACGGGTCCCCAAATCATCACTGACCTCAAGCATGACTCTGTCTCTCCACTCTTCCACCAGACTATGGGGCCTTGATTTGAAAATGAAATTGTAAATATATTTTCATCTGAATAGACTTTGGTCCTCTGAGCAACACCCAGGTCAGGTCAGACATAACCTGGAGCCACGTTTGACTTGTCAAAGAATGAGTCACGATGCCATGTAGAGGCTCTAGAGGCCCTGGCCTCAGCTGCAGTCCACTCCTGGGTACATTTTGTTTAAAAATCTTTCCCAGCATTAAGTTAGCCAAATGAAAAGATGTTGTGCTACCAGCATCTGATGTTGGCAAAGAATGATTTGTATTTTCATTATTGAGCACCTATGAAGTATCTGTGGACCCCTGGAAAACTCCTCGGACCCCCACTAGTCTCTCGGAAAATGTCTGAATTTTTTTAAAGCAACTGATGAGCAACACATGGAGATTTTACATGAAGTCGCTTTTTTAACAAGTTTAAATATATCAAAACAGCTGAAGTATTTTTTATGCTTCAATGAGACAAAACTTGAGAAGGTTTCAAATTAGGACATTCTTTACAAAAGCGAGGTTTGAGGTTTGCTTTATTTATTTCAAACAGACAATAAAAAGTAAAACCAGAAAATAGGAATGAGACAAATATGTCAATTTACATGCACAATTTATTTTGAACAGGAACAATTAGAAGATAAAATATATTATGACTTCCTCTCATACAGTCACTTAAGTCTCCCCACACCATTCCATAGATCTACCAAACACAATGATATACAAAAACTGTTTTTGGTTGTTCTGATACATTGTTTTTTCAAAGTTTCCTTCTCCTCTTAAATTCTAACCCCCCTATTTTGTCACAAAACATTTTTTGAATATTGTGTGGACGTTGATGGTTTCTTGCTTTGAACATAAATTTTACAGTTTGGAATTTCACAAATTTCCAGAATTTCAGTACTAATTAATAATGATAATAACGTCTAAAAAGCTATACTTACTGATTGGTACAAACATAGAAATAAAACCTGTTTCGACTGACCCTTATTCATGCTCCTTGATAACATATTACAATTTCACTTACTTCTGTAACATAATTGTTTACTGTATCTGTACAGAAAATGGATTTTGATTGTTGTATCATAAAAGTGCCTAAACAAATAAATAAAAACTGGAATGTGTTCTTCATGTTGACAGCGTCCTCAGCCTCCTCTCAGATGCAGAGTCAAGTAGATGGTGCTGTGCTCCCTCACGTTGTAGTCAGACAGTTTTCCAGACTGCATCTCCCGGCCCTCGTGGATCAGCCTTTGCTGGTTCGCAGGAACCCCCTCTCTCTTCTCCACTCTCTTCCTGAAGCCCTCCACCGTCTCGTCGGGTGTGACATCGTAGGTGCTGTTCGTCCCCTTCTCGTTTTTCAGGAACACCTGGAAGGTGGACGGCTGGGTGATCAGCAGAGACACCTGGGAGCTCGGCCCAATGTTGTAGGAGCTGATCGGCTTGGAGTCGTCGTTCAGAGGCGTGCTCGACCCGTTCGTGAAGACCAGCCTCTGCCTCGCAGCGGGAACCCCCAGCTCCTGCTGGATGCGCATCTTCAGAGAGCCCACCGTGTCCTGCGGGTTTACTTTCAGCGTGCGGGTCGTCCCGTTCAGCGTTTTAATGACTATGTCCATGACTGAACTGATCTGAAAGATAATTTATAAACATTTCATCATGACAATAATCAGAGGTGAGCTCATGGACGCATTCATTAGGAGATGAACTTACCTTACGATTAGCTTCTAAAGAAAAAATAAAAATCTCCTTCAGGTTTCAAATGTCCAGTAGCTCTTGATCCTCCGGTGTTTTGCTCCTCTGAGTTTGAACAGCTGTGCTTATATACTGACTGGACCTGCCCACTTCATTTAAGATTCGTTTTCCCTCTAATATTTTGGTTTCTATTCTCTAAAGCAACACGCCTGTTCAAATGTTTTTCATGACGTTTCCTGGATACCTGCCAACAGGTGAGGTGGAGGAACAGCTGAGTTTTACAGCTTACCTGGTAATGAGAGGAGGGAAACGAAAACAGGACGATAAGCAATCAGATGAAATAAATGCAAAGTCCGGCTTAAAGCTGAAGCAGAACAGAAACTGAAAAAGCCCAGACTGTTTAGTGGCCCATTTCGATTATTATTAGGAATAAAACACAACTAACATAGGCAATAATCATTAGATAATAAACAACTAGTTAGATCATAACCTAAGATCAATAGTATGAATATGTCTTATCAAAAACATGATTTAGTTTAGGAATTTAAAAATTGGAACTCAAAAATATGTTTGAAATTTCTTTCAGATTTCTTTTGTTTTTTGCTTTTTGATTTTCACACAATTTGTGCTTCAATTAACAGATATCTAAGATAACCCGAGTTAATACAAAATGCAGTTTACAAGCTATGATTTCATTTACTGAGAGTGGCCCAATGTTACATTACATGCTAAATGTAATGTAACATTACATTACATCCAAACCAAAGTTTATGTGAAGAAATAATGAAATACACTTACCGATAACCCTCAGACTCTGTGATTCTCCACCAAGTCCAGTTGCAGTTCACTCTCGGGTGGGCTTAGATTCAAAATCTTCCCAAGGACAGTTAGCCAAACAAACATGTTTTCCTTCCACATAACTTTCTGTAAATACTAAGCTCCTCTCTACAGCCAGCTTCTTTAGCAGGAAGTGTTACCATTCTTAAAGAGTTGAGATGGCAGCCTTTCCCATGACTGTGCAGATCACAATGTTACACCTCTATATTACAATTCCTTTATCAAACTGAAGTCATCAGTGTGAAATAAATTGTACTGCTTTGTTTTCTTAACATATTTCCAAGATGTTTTTTTGCATCAAATTATGCATATTTCAACTGAAACTTAATGAATAAGTGGCCCAATGTTACATTACATGCTAAATGTAATGTAACATTACATTACATCCAAACCAGTTTATGTGAAGAAAAAATGAAATACTGTTACCGATAACCCTCAGACTAATTTAAACATTTCTAGTTAAATTCTAATTTAAAATCTTGGTCTTGTGCACAACGTGAAAAGAAAAAAACGTGACACAGATTTTAAATTTTTATTCCTTTAATGTAAAATCAATATTTACAGGCATATTTATAAGAGCTTCAAACAATTGAAGAATCTTAGGTCAGATTTTGATGAAAATGTTATGTAAACCAACATAAGAAAACATAACATATATTCACTGTGCGATGTACTTACTATCTGTCCTGTCATTACTTTGCATCCTCACAGCTGGAGGATGCAAAGTCATGCATCCTCCATTACTTTGAAGTTGCCGTCAATATGTGACGTCAACTTCATGTGAAATGATACTGAAACCCGAACATGTTGGTCAACAACAGGAAAATTGCAATTTTAGCAGAAGTTGAGCCAATAAAATCAGCTGCACATCTCCCAGTTTCTCCCATATTGTTTATGGCTGCAGATAAACTGCAGTAAAGACAATTATGAACGTCTGCCATGCAGTTTCAACCAAGACATGTGACTGAGGAGCGTAAGGCAGACACGTACAATTTTCTATATAAAAAAAAAAAAGCAATAAATTATTCACAATCAAGTCATCAGAATTCCGAGTGTCTGAGGATGGCAGCCCTCTCCTCCCTTTTAGGCAGAGGAATGTTTCCTGGTGAAAAGAAAAAGAAAAAATCATCACGATTCTGCACTTTCAGACCTAAATATCTTCAAGAAGAATACAGATGCTGGCCAATAAATGTAGCCATTCTTATCATACCTGGTGGTGCAACAAAATATTCTTCCACTGTGTCTTTTGCGAGCTTAAGCAGCTCCTCTGCGCAGTCACCCTCTGTCACTGTGTCGTCCCTCAGATATAAAGCACTGAGTGGATCAAGCAAAACCACATTTAGCAACATGTGGTTTTGTTATTGCTTTTCTATTGCTGATAGAAAAGCAATAAGTTACTTTTCTATCAGGTCCAGCTGTTATTCACAGCTGTCTGCGCAGCACCTGTCCTCCAGAACTGAATCCATCGGCTCGACCCCAGACGTGTCAACAACGTGAAGCTGATCAGCGAAACGAATGGCTTTCTCCAGGCACTCCAGCCCCTGCTTGGTCCGGAAATCCACCAAGGCCAGCCGCTCCAGCTTGTCCACCAGGTCAGCAGGGATCTTGGTGGGCTGCAACATTAATACTGTATGAAGTGATGTATGACCACTCTTCTCCAAAATACTATTTTAAATAAAATCAAACATGGATCTGCAGCTTGATCCATGTTGTAAAATGCTTAAATTAAGCATTTTTATCTACTAATTGTGGGCCTCATACATGATCATTAATTACCTTCAGAATTTGTGTAGTGTCTGTTAAATACAAAGAGACTTTAATTGGTATAATATGTGTGTTTTTGTGCTGCTCAAAGTCTCAGTCTATAGAATAGCATCTTCACACAAAAACAAAGAAAGTTTGCCAGGTATGATTTTGATTTAAAACCAAGAAAAGAGAGAAACCCTTGAACAAAACTTGAAATGTGTTGACTAAGGAATGCCTCTGAGCACAAGAAGAGGTCTAAGCGAAACAAATACGATTTCAAGTATAGTTGGATATGTATTTGGTCTACTTGTCTTGTACAGCTTTGTGAATTTACGTTATACATTTATACTGAACTAAGTCTGTTTTCTTCTCACTTGCTAGTCTTGTTTGTTTTAATTAGACAATTGGGACGACTTTATTGGACGGAATATGGACGCCCTGTGTCCTTTGATGCATATTTCCCGAAATGCAACAATTGCCACTTTGTTGGTACGTACAAAATTCTTAATGGATCACCGTTTTTTTTTTTTTTTTTTTCCATAGCTCATTACACAAAACCCAGACTTCTTTAATTTATTTCACTAGGATTTTATGTGGCAGACCAACACAAAATCATTATTGTGAAGTGCGAAGAAAACAATGCAAAAATCCTGAAATACTTTTTACAAAACAAAAAATTGTCTGCCGTCTCAACACTTTACAGAACCATATTTTGCAGTAGTTGCAGCTGCAAGTCTTTAAAGGAATGTCCCTACAAATTTAGTGCATCTGGAAAATGAACATTTTCTCTCTTCCTTCTTTGCAAAATACCAGCAATTTCAGTACAAAGACATTGTCTGTCAAGTCTATTCAAGGCTTTTCTTTTCGCCAGTCAAACGTCTGGCACACATCAGATTTTCATTTGTAAAATAGAAGATAGAGTAGAGATTTCCTCTGCTTCACAATTATTCATTACCTTGTGCTCATCCTACTTGGTTATTGTCCCAAATGGAAAACTTGCTGTGTTGGCCTATCAAATAAATCCCAATGTGTGACAAAATGTGAATGAGTTTAAATTTCTCAAGGCACTGTAAATGTCCTCCATGTGACAGAACCAGATACAGAGCATGACCTTCTGAACTTCAGGGTCAGTTTATAAGGGTTGTTTTGTGTTTACATGCATGCAGCCATGAGGATGTTACCTGAGGAAGCTGCTCTTCTGGTACAGGCTCCCATGTTGGCACTTTTGGGACCTGTAAGATAACCAGAGATCCTTAGTAAATAAATAAAATGTTGTAGAATCTTTATTATGCTACATTTGCCTTACCTTTGGGTTATGTTGGTGGGAGCTGAGCGGTCTTAAGATTTGGCTTTGCAGACTTATGAGGCTGCATCTCTTAGTTATGGAGTAAACATTGTTTGCCAACAAGTTACATGGCGAACCAAGGATTTCCAGGGAAACGACACGAAGCGTTTGAAATGCCAACATCTTTGTCATATTTACTCAATCACTTCTGCATGTGATCTAAGCGAAAACCGCCACATTTTCTTTCTCCTCTTCTTCACTAAGGTCAGCGCCACATAGCTTGTAGCTCTGCTAACAACATGCTAAAGAAGGAGGAAGTAAAACAGAGGCTAAACTGCACGTATTTCCTGTTTCGCTGAAACAGGAAATCCGATTTATTTATTTCTTTTAAATACATATTGTGTAGATGTCTTTCACAATAAAGACTGTGTTTATATAGTCGAGGTGTTGTTTCTCAAAGTACTAAAAAAGAGGATTTTAAAGATACTAATCCGCTTGAGCTGAAATTGCAGCGATGCTGTCGACAGTTTACCGTTAACGGTCGCTGACAGTCCGTGTTAATATTGACCTGCGTAGCAATTTGAAATGTAAGGACAAGAGCTATAAACAAATCTACATTTAGTATTTTAATTAAAATTTAAATAATAGCATCTTGACACCTGGAAGGTAGGATTTTGAAATTGAGTGAGGACGTATTATTGAACAAGAGCGCCCGGATAGCTCAGTCGGTAGAGCATCAGACTTTTAATCTGAGGGTCCAGGGTTCAAGTCCCTGTTCGGGCGTGTTTTTTCTCTTCTAAGACAGAAACTGCTTATCCGCTTGGTATTTATTGTCCAGGAACAATTGACGTCGGTGAGACATCGTTTCTTACCATTTACATTGCAAGAATCGTAAGAAACCATTTCTTACAATAGACACTTCCTGCAGTGGCATCAAACTGCAGCTCTGGAGGGCTGGCATTCTGCAACTTTTTGATGTGTGCTTGGTTTAACACGCTTCATTAAAAATATTTAGATAATTAGCAGAACTCTGAACTTAACTGCATACTAAGGAGGTATTTTAACAATTTGATAGAAGTGTGATGAACTAGGAACACATCTAAAAGTTGCAAGACAAAGCTGAGTACTGTATTGGATTTTGACACCTGTTTTTAAAAAACTTTTGGATATTTATTTACCAAAGCTCTATGATAGCTTAAGAGTAAGAACAATAAACTCCCATCGTATTTCTAAATCAAAAACAGACAGAAACAATAAATATTACTATTAATAAATCTAAACATTATTTCTGCCATTTCAAACTGAATTTCTCTTAAATTTCTAATCTGTTCATAATGATATCAATCCATTCATTGTCTATAGGAGCTGGTGATAGTAGGGGTCACTGTGAACAGGTCACCAGTCCATCATAAGGCTTCATATTGACCTTTAATTATGTGGCCCCGTCTCAAAATACAATTTAAGAATAATAACTTATTCTAAGATATTGAACACTCCTTTAAATGTGTGGACCATTCTCCCCCCCCTCTAGTTTCAGTTTGAATAAAACATTTAGTAAAACAGACATAACAATGTGATTTGGAAAAATAATTATTCCATTTTTATTTTTTATTATAAGAACATAGACCATTCAATATATATGTGTATATATATGTTAAGTGCTGTGGAATCTGATTGTTTTATAGTGCACATTTAAAACTGGCCACAAAATAAAAATATCAGCTTTACAAACAAAGCAGCATCCAGAAAAGAAAACTAACTAAAGAAGTACTTTGGCTTAAGAATGTTACAATAAATGAATAAAAAAGTTCATCTGAAAGCACTTGGAATCCACAAAGAAGTACTAGTAATTAATGCGAATAAACCTACTACATTCATAAAACAAGTGTTTGAAGTTTTAGGCTATGTATGACAGGCATCGACTTGCATGGACCATTAGGAACTGGAATATAAATATGTCAACAACAAAAAAAAATAAAGTAATTACTACTCATATCACCAAAGCAATTGTCATTTCTTGCAGCAATGAATCTGAATAAAGTGGAACAGCAGTTGTTTCTAGGTTAGGGTGACTAAATACGACCGCTGCCTCGTCTGTCTTTTCTGTTCAAGGAGGAAGTTAAGGTCTGATTGAACAAGCAGGCACCAGACAATGCAAGACAGTACAGAAAACAAAAGTAAGTAACTCACTCGATTGACAAAATAAGCAGAAGATCACGGAACAATGCAAAACAATTCACAAGGACTGTGAAATTAGGCTCGTCTTTTCATGTACACGTCTGTGTGAATTTCTGCCCACAGACTTGTTAGTCATCAAAGTATCGGGTTAAGGGTTCACAACATATTCTGAACACAATTTTATCTGAGGACACAACAAATACAAAAATAAACAAACTGGCAGAAAACGCAGTTTTAGGACACTTAAAACACTACATTTTCCTGTAACACTGACTTGCAAAAGTACTAAAACCCCTTTGAACTTCAAATTCAATGCATTTTATTGAGTTTTTAAACGTTAGACCAACATAAAGTCCTGCGTAATTTTGAAAGTAAAGAAAATAATGAACAGTGTGGATTTATATTCAGCCTCGCAGAATCTGTGGAACCAGATTTTGCTACAGTTACTGCTGCAACATCTGGTGAGCCGCTCAGTATTCTGCTTCATGTTGATTCCTGCGACTCCTTTAAAGTTACTCTTGTCTCTGATTAATGCTCCTCTTGTTAATTTAAGTGGACGTCACATACACACACACACACACACGATCAAAGCTTAGGATATTGTTTTACGACACAAACCTGCTGTAAATTTCTCCGCAGCTGTTGGTTGTGTTTTTAGGTCTGTTGCGATGCTGCTTATTCACTTTTTATTTGCAATAAACCTTGACAAATGTCTGATTTTCCTTTCACTACAAAATCATGTGCTACTTTCCATTGGTCCATCAGATAAAATTTAAATAAAATACGTTAAAGTTTGCAGTGGAATGCGACAACAATGTTCAGGGGTGTGAATACTTTAGCAAGGCACTGTAAGCTAATTACACAAAGTTTAAAGCAACAAGTTGGATTTCTGGCTACCAGACAGATTCTTAAATCAATTAATGAGGTTAATGTTTAAATGTTTGCATCTAAATAACATTAAAAAAAAAACTTACCTATAATCTTATTTTGTTAAGGGATGACTTGTAATTTGTTTTGGGTTTTTTTTAATAGTTGGCTATTAAAACAATTCATAGAGCAGTATCACAATCTATTATTCTCATAAATATAGTCTCTGTTTGAATTCAGCTTTACGTTTTGGCATGAAATGTGCAACTAGAACGTCTTTATCCTAAAATATTAAGTGCACTCGGATCGACAAAGTTCTCATAGTGCCGACAGGACAAACACCACAGAGGACAGTCTGTAAGGCTCATAGCAGCAACCTGTGAATGTAAAGGCCTTGTGTAGATTGTATGAATTCATGTGTGTTACACTGTTGTGCTACTACAGCCGACTCTTCTTTACATGGAAGGAAAGGAGGACGAGAGCAACAATCACTTGTTTTCTATCAGCATCTGCACTTTGCACACCAGATCTCTGGCCAGGGTCAAAATCTGCTTGATGTTGTGATGCTCAGCCATTTCTGAAAGACAAAGACAAAGAGTGGAACATCAAAGCTTTGCATAACCACTGATTAAACGTATCCAAAGGCTTTTCCCTCACTGTCTCACTCTCAAGATTTTAGTTGGTTTAATAGAGCAGAGCGTGTTCTGGATAAATGTTTGCATGAGTGTGTAGTTGGATTACACACAGTGGGATGAATTACACCAATGAGTCACTGTGTAGTTACACCCATCTGTTGATAAAACTAAAGTTTCACTGAAAATCTGATGTTAAAGTGAAAAAGTGCAATTTTCTGAACCAAATTAGGGTAAGGTGAAGTTTTCATGATTTAACTCTAGAAATCAGCAGAAAGACTAACAAGTTTGGATCTGCACAGATAAAAGACGTTTAAAGGGCTTAGAGAGCCAGAAAATCTACCGCCTTGCAAATGGTAGATCTGTAAAATCAAATTAGTTACAGATAGACTTTATTTTGGCCAATAATCTGCAGGGGAAACGAGCTAAATAAAAAAAAAAACAAAGCAGATCATAATTTTATTATGTTTGCCTGGGAAATGGTTCAACCTCTGCACAAACTGCTCCATGTCTCAGAGATTCAAATTGCTGACTGTTTTCCTGTTTGGTAAATCAACTCAGCTAATCAAACACCATCAGCAGCATCATGATTTTCATCAGCAAGCAGAATGGAAACAAACTGAGCCTCGACAGTAACAAGGTGAGAAATGCGGATGAGACTCTTAAATGTGTTGTGAGTCGTCTTACTGTCTGGGCAAGTCAATCTAAGCCTCATTTGGATTTACACTGTAAAAAAAACTATATTTCTTCTGTATTTCTATATATATAGTTTCTCTATCTTTTTCTTTACTTGCAGCAATGATATTTTTACATTATTAGAAAAAAATGTATTAGAGAAGAGTAATGTTTTCAAAGGATGATTTTATCATCCAAACCAACCAAAGGCAAAAAAAGTAATTGCTCTCCTTGTTAAATCATGAATTAATGTTTGTTTTAAAAAGCAGAAAATCTAGAAGGTGAATATACAATAATTCATAAAACAAGCAAAATGAAGGTTTTAGTGTGACCTAGTCAAATTCCTGAATCAAATCTGATTGAGATGCTACAGCATGATCTTAAATGGGTCGTTTATGTTTAAAAAACCCTTCAGTGGGGAGGAGTTGTAACAATTTAACTGGTCTGATTTGATGACCAAAGCCAAAGAAGCTGAGCTCAAACTTAAACTCTCAAAACCCCAAATTCACTATAAATGTATTTGGTTTTTGGTTCGTTTGCTTTACCTGCATTTTTGTTGTTTTCAACAAAGTTGACTGCCCTCCACAGGGCTTAAGTGCTAAGAACATTAGCGACAGGGTTTTACCATTGAAGAACTTGATGATGTCTGTGAAGTCCATGTTGTTCTCCAGGATGATGTCCCTGTATACCTCCACCAGGGCAAGGGCAATGAAGAGCACAAAGTGACTTGATGAGGCATACTTGGCGGCCCAAATGGTTTCCCAGACAGCAAACACGTCATCATAAACCAGCTCTGGACAGAAAGCACAAAGAAACAGAGGGTTGGATTTTTGTTCAGAGCTTTATCCATTTCTTTATTCTATTTACTTGATTAACCTTTTATACTTACGATTGCTCCAATTGCTTTTTTTTTTTTTAACTCTACTTGTGTTTTTTTTTTTTTACCTTTAACTGAACTTGCTCAACTGCAGCAAATGTTTGACTAAAAATAGAAAAAGCTCTAATCACTTCTTAGATGCTGCTCTCCTTCTAATAGGCGCCGACTCTGTTAGCCTGAGCCGTTACATCACCTCGTTTGAAGTCGAGCAGGAACCAGCGGTAGCAGAAGTAGAAGTGGGTGTAGTCTCCGTTCTGGTGCATGAGCTCAAACAGCTCAGAATCCAGGATCTAAAGCCAGAGAGGGATAGAAAGATTTAAAAAAAACAGCGAATCCAATAGCCAGCGATTGGATTCGCTGGCTATTATAGGACTCTATTATAAAACTCAAGCTGCGTCACCTGGATTAGAGAGCGCATGTTCGCAAAGTGAGTGTCCATGGCTCCTCCGTGTGGAAAGTTCTGATTCATTCTCTTCATGAGTTTACTGAAACAGCTGAAAGCTTTGGCCTCTGAGAGGAGGACACAGAAAGGGAAAGCGAGCTTGCCAAGTCTTTATTGCAGCTCAGAATATCACTGTAAAAATACATCAAATCAAGTGGGAGCAGGGAGGAGAGTTTCGACTCACCGTCATCGAGAATGACTAAAAGAGGAGCCAGCAGGTCACACATTCCCTGAACGTATCCGATGTCCAGGTGCCTCCAGATGTAGCTGTGAATATGCAGCGCAGAGAGCTGACCTTAACCCCATGTGACTGCTTCTTACTCTGACTCACACCCTCTCTGCAGGTTTAGAGCCATTCTGCAGACTAATATTCTGACACTGGAGACAAGCGTTTCAGAAACGATATCCATCATTGAACAGGTCAACGGCGTTTGTGGTTGAAACTGAGTCTCAAAGCAAATAGCTGGAAATATACAACTTTTAGAGTTTAAGAGAGGGCAAACTTGCAAACTTCTTCATGTTTTCTCATGGTGCAACTATGTAATACTGCAAAGGAAGAGAATAATTGTAAAGGGGAAGGAAAACTGTGCAAAGTTTTAAATATATTTTTCGTACCCTGAGTAGCTGCAGTGTGATTTATTTTCCACCACTCGTCTTGTGTTTCAACTAGTAACGATTTCATAAATCTTAACTTATATTAGAAAGAATAAAGTCTGAATTTAAAATATTGAACTAGACATGTTGTTGAAATGAAGAACTAAATCCTTAAAAGAGTCTTAAATTGCCAAGCCACATTGACTGAACATGCAAAGCTTATTAGAAAACTTGTTTCCAGCAGAAGAAACTTCCTAAACGGACTGTTTTGTTTATGTCAGTCAGATAAGTTCAAATGATTGAGCATCTTATGGATGTGAGAAAGCATTGCTGTAACCTATTATTCAACTATGCCCCTGCAGGGGTCGCTGTTTTACCTGCACATGACGTTACGCAGCTTCTCCAGGTTGGCTGGAGTGAAATACCAGTAGTTCCTGTCACACCGCTGGACGTCTTTCTCGATGCGGTGCAGATTTAGGGTGTATAAATCCAAAAGCTCTTGCTGTAACAAATATAATTATGACAGTAAATAAAATAAACTCACTATCTGGTTGACTTATATCGCAATAAATCAGCGGTTATCAAATTATTTCAAGCTGGAGGTTTCTTTAAAATCCCCTCCTCAGTGTTGCCTGGGTTCAATTTGAGAACCACTGCTGCGAATAAATGTAGACTCGTTAAAAATGGTGTGCATACAGAGTAAGGGCTCCCAGTCGCTCCCTGAGAGGTCACTTCATCCTTCGTGTTTTCGTCGGCTGGAAGAGAGTCGAAGGGAGGGTAAAGGCTCTCCATCTCCGGCTCCGACAGGATGGACTCTGTTCCTTCGGGACTGAGCTTTTCTACGTCCTGCCTCAGATCCGCAGGAGTTGCTGAATCCTCAGAGAAGGACGAAGTCTCACAGTGTCCTCTCCTGCTCCAGGGTGCCATGGAAACCTTAGCCTTGGGGATCTCCTCCATTTCTATGGCGGAAGGAGACTCGTCAGACTCAGTCAAAGGCTGGGTCTCGTCTTTCTGAGACGAGCTGTAAGCTCCTCCCGATATCGAGGCGCCCAGAATCTGTTCCTCCTCACATTCCTTAAGGCTTTTTGATTTTTCTTTATCTTGAGAAAATGTGACGGTTGTGTTTAATTTTTCCATTTCTTTAATCGGTGTCACGTTTTTTTCTTTGTGTTTGGAAGCTTCCTCGGTCTTCACTGGAGAGAGTTTCTGAGGACTTTCTTCAATGTTCACTTTTGGGTCTTTATCTTCAAAATTTGCTCCTTCCTTTTTCACATTTCCAGACTTTGTGCTGTCCTGTGTTCCAGGATTCAATTTGGCTCCGTCTTTATCCGTGCTGTCAAATGTTTTCTCCTCCTCCCCTTTGTCCTTCTCTTCACTCGCCACCTGACTCTCGACTGTCAACGCTTCAGCCTCTCCCGCTGCAGCTTTGGCGGAGCTCTGCGACATCAGAGGCACAGCTGTGGATCTCTGGGACGCATCAGGTGCGGAGCTGTCCTCTGTGCTGAAGGAGCCGTCTGAAAGGCCAGAGGTGATGGAGAAGTTTCGTGAGGAAGGATGCCCAGAGTCGGGAGAGCTTGACTCGTTTTGCACAGCTCCGTTGGGCATCTTCGGCAACTGTTTGGCCTCTTCGGTCTTGGACTCCGACTCGGTCTGGTCCTGCTCCTCGACGGACTCAAACACCTGAAAGAACAAGCCAAAGGGAAGCAGACTACTCCAGGGGAAGGGATGGGAGGATGTGAAGAACTAGCAGGAAGGAGAATGCAAAACATTGGTGCAGAATGTCTAGATTAAATGAATAGTTTAGACATTTACAGTATGTGCAACGGTTTCTGATTGTGATTTCAAGAAGCCAGACTTTTTTGTGATCTTTTAAAACGGCTTTCTAGGTAAACCCCTCCCCCCCGAAAAAATTAGACTTTTTTAGTACTTTTTCACTTATTTTCTCTCCAGCTCTTATTGGTAATAATAAAAGCATATTTCTTAAAATAGAAAAAAGTGGACAATGAAGATGATCCAAGGCTAAAAGCCGACTACAGGATATTAACATCTGATAATCATGTCTCAAAGAAAAGAAAAAAGCTCTTACTCTGTCACCCTTCAGTTGATCAACTCTTTATTCAGTCAATAGCACATCAGGCATCACCTGGTAAAATATTATTCTATATCAATCAGGAAATTGTAAATTGACTTCCAAAGCACTCCTTACCAGATAAATATTCATCCATTTTCAGCTCGACTGGTGACAAGACAAAACTGTAAAATCTGAATTTTTCCTGATCAGTGACTGCACCATTATGATCACTAAGACTGCACTGGGGGGAAAAAAGTGCTGGATTCTACTGGCAACCATTTGTAAATCTCAGGTTTAAAGTAAGGATTCACGTTTTCTAACCAATGCAAAAAGAGAGAAAATATTGTTTTCCTGTGACAATGGCTGCTCACGTCAGGCAGACCTTCACAGCCAGTGTTCAGTTTCTTACCCAAAGAGATTTAGACACTAAGAGAATCATTCTTCTCCACTGAGCTATGGACACTCCAGTCACTCCGTTATCTTTGGCATTTTTCACAAATGAACCTAAATATATAAGAAATCTCGTTAATGTCTATGTGATCACATGCAACAAACAACCTAAAAATCCAAGTTGCCCTTTAACATGCAGCCACAGCACTGGCTCATCTCTCAGTAAATGGGCTCCAGAAACAAACGTTACAAAAATAAAAGTTCCTCCAGAAGAGAAGCTTCACGAAGGACGTTTTAGAAGAACACAAAAAGTACAGTCTGCCTCTGAGAACGATGGTCTTTGCAGAATGAATGTAAAGTTTGTATTTTGTGCGAACAGAGTCAACAGAGGAATTGACGGAGTTGGGTTTGGATACCTGTGTGCTGCTGCTGGAGTCACTCTGGAGGCGAGCCAGACTCTCCCTGTCTGAGCTGTGAGACGAATGAGACTGGAATAAAGGTCCACAGGAGAAATGATCATTTCTGTGTTGTTAAAATCAACGAAATAAGTGATGCTAAAAAATTTAAAGAGTATTTTCTTTTCTCTTACGTACAAAACCCTCTAGGATTTAAAAGGAGCACTCATTCCTTGTTTTATGTGTATACAAAATGAGTAAAATCATGTAGATTCAAGGAGGTGGACTTTTGTTTGAAATCCTAGAATTTACTGGGGATAAATTTTCTTTTTACGTACCTAAAATTTGTGTTAAAGCACCATATATAGAGAAGCATATTTTCTTTTTACAAAAAGTGTAAAATGCTTTGCATGCTTTCAAGGGAGAGTTTACTTTAATGTCCATAATCAAGATGTCAACTCTACAATCTAGATGAAAGTATTTTTTCTTCATATGCTTACAAAATAATATGCACACCAAAATATGGTGAAACTTATGTCAAACAAGCCTCTTCACCCTTTGCTAAACAGGTATTTATAAAAAAAGAGCATAGTTTTATAGTTTTATGCACTTAACTATTCTCATTGATGATGTGAATAAACATGCTAAACGTTCCAGTTTAGCTATTCATGAGTCATCTTCACTTATAGCCTTTTATCTGAAGAACATTTGTTATAATTTATATTTATACCACAAATAATCAAGCAGATTATTTACCCCTAAACAAATCGGTTTTAGCTCTGACCCAGCCAGCATACCTAGGTGGGACCCATGTGGGGACAAGGAGGGCAGACTATATGGGTCCCATATGGGTTTGTCCGCGGGTTCCACGATGGCCCCACATGGGTTTGCCCATGTAGGGCCACAGCCCACATGGGTGCTACATGGGCCCTAATTGGACAAAACCCATGTGGGCCACCACCATATAGGGCCCATGCAGGGCCCATGTGGGCTCTGGCCCTACATGGGCAAACCCATGTGGGGCCATCGTGGAACCCGCGGACAAACCCATATGGGACCCATATAGTCTGCCCTCCTTGTCCCCACATGGGGCCCACCTAGGCATGCTGGCTGGGGAGTGACTTCCTGTTCACAGATAATATCTACTGGACTCATGTAGCCACAAACAGGCAGCAAAACTATAAGCAGGATGTAAAAAATGACCAGCAGCCTTTATTTTAAACTGTGAATAATGTCGTTTTTCTTTACTGCTTTACCTCGTTGCTCACAGTGGAGTCATGATGGGTCATCCTCTGACTGGAGCTGTCCACGCTCGCCACAGAGGAGCACTTCGCCAAAGCGGCGGCGTGCTGCTCCTTCTCTCGCTCGCGGACGACCTCCTCACATGCCAACCACTCGCTCATGGTCTGCTCATAGGAAGCCTGCATTTGTTCATCCACCTACGGCCAAAGAGCGAGCAGTCAGGCGTCAGTGGTGCAGAAGACCTCCGAAGGGATGGAGTAACAGAGGAGCGGGGCTGACCTCCCTCCTGTCGTCCTCCGACGTCCCAAACTGGTAATGACCCAGCAGGAAAGGCCACACCTCCTTACGCAGCGAGGGGTCCACGCCGCCGAAGTAGACCAAGCGGAGCAGCTCCTGCTCTTTGTAGGCCTAGCGAAAAGCAGCACAAGCCTTTGATTGACCCAGGGCTTGCCTTTTGATCAGTTCTATTATCTGCTTTATTAAAAATGACAATGATCTCCCACACACACGCCTTAATGTGCCAAAACAACACCGGCTGCCTCACTAATGATCAAAGCTCGCATTCAATTATTCATGATAGAGCAATGTTTTAATGTTTTGAAATGAGCCCGGCTATATTGCTGACCTCTCATAAATTTGATTAATATCTTCATAAACTTCAGAAGTGGTGTTTAGGTGTAATTTACAAGACCATTAGTCAGGCTTCATGAGACCGGCAGCGTGAGCCGCATCGCTAGCAGGCTGAGCGGGAGGCAGAGGAGACGCTGAGGTTACATGTGTATGTGTGTGTGAGCATGCGGAGAGCCTTCTGTCCGCAGTTAAAGTCAAAGCATGTGTCGTGGTGCTTACGGTGCAGTCCTTAAGAAATGTCTGCCAAACGTCCGTGGTGAGCCCCCCGGAGGCGTCACAGGGCGCGTTGGGCGCCACGATGGCGTGGTTGACGAGGGCGGAGAGATGCGTGCGCACGGTGGACAGGTGGCGGCAGTACGCCAGCCCTGGTCGAAGAGACGGCTAATCAGTTAATCCGACCGCAACAGATGACAGTGAAAGAGAGCTGATAATATTCAATACGGCATTTCGTACATCCATAAAACGCCCTGGAGATGATCTGATATTTCATGTTGTCACACAGCAGCTTCAGGGGAGTCCTGCAGAAAGACACAGCATGATTTTATCTAAGCTACAGTGCCTATTCATTCCACTTGAAATTATTAATATCTGGTCAAATAATAATAATAATAATATATTTTAGGTGCGTTTGACGTGACAAATGGGAAATGACGCAGGGTAAATGAGGTGACTGCGCTTACAGCCAGAAGATGTTTGGGGCTGTCTCTTACATTTTTGCTAATTTAGAGACACTTCAGTCTATCATTTTTTATTAAATAGCTGTAACAATGAAATTGGAATAACCTTTGGTCCAGTGCAGCATGATTTTAGGAAAATATCCCTTTCCAATAATATTAATAAATATTGAAGCGACCATAAAACCTGCAATCAACCCATAGTTCCTCAGGGGTCACTTCCCCCCCAATAAAGATAATCTCACTGCAGTCTTTAGGGTATTACTGAAAAGTAGAGTTTTAATACATAACAACTAAAATACCATTCCCAACCAAATATTGCGTCTAAGCAGACCTTTGTGATATTCCATGGTTGATATAATAAATGTAGAGAAAATGGCCTGCTTTACTTGTTCAACCTGCATCATGTCCTTCTCATTCCCCAGTCATGCACTGGTTTGTGTTGGCCTTCCACAGTAAATTACAAAAATACACTCAGTTTGTTGTTGTAATGTGAGAAAATGTGAAAATATTCACGGGGTGTAAATATTGTAGCAGAGCACCGTACCCGGCACTCTTCTTCTACAACACCTTCATTAAGCTGCCATTCTGATTTACATCTTTTTTATATATATATATTTTTCCATGACACATCATACACTATCTCTGGTATACAGCTTATTACAGGGTTCAGGCTGACCTTTTGTAAAATGATAAACTATTGTGCTGCCATGCGGCACAAATTTGCAAAACAGCTCATCCTTTTTTTTTTTTTCTTTTTTTTTTCTGCCCTGGTTATCAGCTAATTTACCTCAAACTCTTCTAATTCCAGTCAGCCAAAATGTCACATCATTTTCCTCTGGGTAGTCTCGACGTTCTTGTATCTGTCTTCCGTCTCCAGTTTTCTTGGTGTTATTAGAAAAGCTTCAGGGCCGAACGGGTTCCTGTGTAGATTAATGGCTTGTGTTTTTCTCTCACCTCTCATAGTTGCACCCTTTGTGCGCGGCGCCATCGGAGACGTTCCCCTTGGAGCAGGAGGAACACGAAGTCTTCCTGAGGCTGGGCTGCCACAGGGCGGCTCCCTGATCCATCAGATCTGGAGGAGGCACTGCGTGCAAAACCACACACACACACACACACACACACACACACACACACACACACACACACAACCTCATTATCACTTTAAAAGAGGCCGCACTTTGAAGGCTTTCAGGAGCAATTACATTTGCACAGAGACGACTGTAAACGCTACAGAAAACACTTCGGCACAAGCAGAATATTGCAGATCAGCTGCGACCCGCTTAAAGCACTTCAGAGGATTGTTCATCAGCGATTCTTTCCTGCTTGAGTGATGACACAAAAACTTTTATATCACCAGAGATTAATAAGCAATTCGAAAGCATGAAGGCGCCACACAGTAGATGTTGGATCACGGAGAAAAAGAAAACATTTTGCAGTTCAAAAGCGAAACTCAGAGTTCCTACACATTTTCAAAATCCAAATTCAATACTTTTCAGGCAATTTTAGATTTTTTTGCGTGGATGGATGGATGGACTGTGTAGGAAGCCTGCATATTTGACCAATCAGCCCCCAGCTGGTGTCTGAAAGGTTAACTGCATTGAGATGTGGTTAGGAAGGCACGGCACAAGCGGCTTTAATGACGCCGCACATCAATACGATTTGCCAGAGGTGCACTTTAGACCAGAAGGGAATGAGACGCGAGGAATTAAAACGAGGAAAGCCGACAGACGACAGACTGACGAGCCCATGTGTGACAGTGTTACAGCTGCTTTCTGTGAGTGAGGGGGATTCTCCCTGACAGCTGCAGCACCTCCTGGGTGCAACCAGAGTCCCTGTTCGGGAGGCGGACTGTCCACTCAGTTCAAGGGGAAGAGAAAAAATCAGATGGGGGCGGTGGGAGACAGTCGCTGTAACAAACAAGGAGCAACATTTTCATTTCAACGCAAGACTCTCGAATCGGTTTGCCTCTGCAAAAAGCGAGAAAACTCACCAAAATCAGACTGGCTGTTTGGAAAGATGATGCGGAAGACGTAGTCGGTGGCCTCGTCCTCCTCCTTGTCAGAAACTGACTCCGTGGACCCGGATCCCAGAGGAACTCTCTTCTTCAGTTTGGGAAACACCTTCCCCTGGAAAAGGATCAAACTGAAGTCAACAACAACGGGAAACGTTTTGAAATCTGCTGAGTTAGTGACTTTTTATTGTCACACTTCAATTATTTAGATGAACAAGATTTAATATTGTACAAAGATAGACAGAAAAACAAAAAAACGCATTTACCAAATGACGATTTCATCAATTTTAGGAAATAGGCTTTCCAAGCCATCTTGGCCCCAAGTACATAGAGGTGGATGCATATTTGCACACTTATCTGTGCAGAATTATTTGTATTCAAATAAATTGGAATGTTTAAGAGCATTAACACTCAATCAGATACAGATTTCCAGACTTTGACTAGGCCATTCATAACTGGACTTGCCGATGTGCTTAATTTGATCATTTGGCAGATGTCTAACCCCAGAATGCTCCAGCTTAATATCACAATCTGATTGTTCTTCTTCAGGATTTTTTGGTAGAGAGCAGAATGTAGAAGCAGTCTCATACATTATCCCTAACCACCACCACCATGTTTGACTATTAGTGTGTTGTTGCTTTCCTGAAATGATAATTAATGCTAGATGTAACAGGATGTACAACATTTTAAAACCTTAGCTTTTGTCTCTCAGGGCATAAAATATTTTCCCAAAAGTTTTGATCATTATGGTGTGTTTATTGACAAATATGAGTCGGCCCTTTTGTTCCCTTTGGTTAGTGTTGATGTTCACTTTGGAAGTCTGAAATGGATCCATTTTTTTTTCGTAATGGCTGACTGAGGAGGGCTGATGCTGTTCCAGTCACTCCTGGGAAGGAAAGTTACCCATAATTCCATGTTTTATTCATTTGTAGGTAATGGCACTCAGTGTGGTTCACTGGAGTCCCAAAGCATCATAAATGACCTTATAACCTTTTCCAGAATGACAGATGTCAATTACTTTGTTTCTAATCTGTTCTTAAATATTTTTGGAAAAAAACTCAATTTTCTATTTATTCAGGTTTCCTTTGTCTGATATTAAGATGATCTTGATTATCTGTGATATTCAAGTGTGACAAAAAAAAAAAACAGCAGAAACAGAATAAATCTGTATGGTTGCAAATATTTTTTTTCACATCAGAGCAGAAATGACAAGTATCTAATAAATCAACAGAGTTGGGACAAATGTAGCTTAACTAGATGCTTGTTGTTTGGTGGCTGAGAGAGAACTGAGCACACAGTCATGTGCTTGAGACAATTTGTCCATTTCCAAACCCAAATCCCATTCTTATAGATTTTTAGATCAGATCACCTTTGTTTGCCATTGTATTCATGCTTCCTTTAAGGATCCCAGCTGCAAGTATTTGCATTGTGTTTTGGAGCGACGATGCTGACCTTTCCCCTCTGGGACCAGAGAGGAGGGTCCAGCTGTCCGTGAGGGAGCAGACCGTTCTCCAGGCAAGACAGGAACTGGAGCAAATGTCCTCCTCTGGGGAAGCGAAGTGGAGGTCTTTGGATCCCATCCTGACTGACCAGCACCACCGTCCCCCCACTGTCCACTGCAGGACACAGATTAACAGTATACAGATAAAATACCTTACTGCAAATAATCAAAATAAGAACGAGATTTAAAAGTAAAAGCTCGTACCTTGTTGATGGCAGTGCAAGTACACTATTTCCTCTAAATTGATTGTCATGGCATAGTCCCAGTATACACTGAAAAACGACAGAAAAGCAGGCAGTCACTGAAGCGACGACCCATTCTTTTTGTTCTGCACTCCAGGTTAAAAGTAAGAAACAAATAAACTATAAATGGTTCAGTAAAATCAGAATGAAAAGGAGCAGCCATCAGTGCAGCAGCATGCTCACAAACAAGCCAGGATCGATTATTTTGTTGATGGAAACCATGCGCAGGTGTTAGACGCTAACATGGTTTTTGCTAGTTTGATGGAGCTCTGACAGTGTTGCAGTCAATAAGCCATGAGGTTGGCCGCTTGGTAAGCTGAAGACCGGCTTCATCAGATCACCAGCAGTAACTCGGAGCACTGAGCCCCCAAGCACAAACACACTGCATTATTCAGCAGGAGAGTGTTATAAAAACAGCACAGCAAGTGAAAAAAAGGCACTTAGCATGTTATTTTCTTCTTGGTATGAGCAGAAAAGCAGGATACCAACAATATAAAATGCTGATGCATTTTTCTATGTTCAGAATGAAATTATTACGCACCTGCGTTCATAGTCCAAGTCTGCAACAGACCCGTTCATGAGCTGATTGGGCGTCCACTTCAGGGTCATTATGTCAGCAGTTTGGTGCAGAGAGAGGTAACCTGGGATGGCCTCCATGTCATCCCTCTGCAGCGGGGGCAAGATGGCAGAAAGGTCAACAAACAGAAATTGGTAGAAAATAGTGAATGGAAACATGTCACACTGGGATTATGTGGGATTACAAGTGGAAGAAAAAGCATACAAAGTTTTTAAATGTCTCCACAAATAAAAATCTGAAAAGAATGACATACATTTTGCCATTTTGCATTCAGCCTCCTTTACACTAACACCCCTAAATACAATCCAGTTACACCCATTGTCTTCAGAAGTCACCTAATTGGTCCATTTGCATGTAGTTTAATCTCAGTTTAATTGCAGCTGTACAACATGAGAGGCGTTGCTGACAGAAAGTCATAAGAAGCCCCACTTGTAGTCTGCAACAAGTCAAGTATGAGACAGCAAATAAGTGAAAATGTGCAAAATGTTTGTTTCTTGGCAACATGTAAAGGGCTATTTGTGTCTCCCTGAACACACCTTCACACATCTTCATGCTGCTATGTCAGGCGTCTGCAACCTTTATCATTAAAAGAGACATTTTGCCCTCAGTCCAACTAGCTGAAACTTGTTTTGGGGCAGCAAATGTTACATTATCTTTAAAAAGAAAAAAAAAACTGCTTCTACTTTTTAATATCTGTAATAGAAAATATATCCTTGAGCTTAAAGAACCATCATTTTACTACACATAATTTTTAGCAGTAAAGCAGGTGGATACATTGTCTTCAATGGGATGTTGATATTTGAAGACAATACCTAAAAAAATTTTAGTCTAAATGTTGAAAATGCACTTAGTTTCCAGCCTAATGATAGAAAAAGATCTAAAAATATTACCGGTACTATTTATTTGATAATGATTCTTTTGTGGATGTAAAAGTGTAATTATTCCATCAAAACAATCTATAAAACTGCTAAAATTGGCAAAGTTTGCCAAAAGAATTAAGAGTGAAATGTGAAACATTTTAAGGGAAATAAATATGTATAGATAGTGAGATGCTGCATATAAAGCGTCACAGTTACCGGTTGCACCAGCACATTGTTCTTGCCAAAAAGCAGCGTGGCCCTGCTGTTCTGATGAAGCGACTCCACATATTCTCGAGCTGACGGGGAAGGCGACGGGCGCTCATCCATGCTGCTGCTGGAGTGTCTCTTCTGGATCTGTGCGATCACAAAACACACCGATGACTCACACTTCCTTGATCATGTGCATCAACAAAGCTGCCCTCATGCATCTTGTTTTCCTCCAAACACACATTTGCAAACAGCTCCGCGGCACACGAACGCTTCAGAGCGTCGGGAGTTTGTGAGATGGGCCGAGCTGACCCGCTCCACTGACAGCGTAATGGGTGAAAACGTGCGAGATGCTCTCTGTTCCTGCTTCTGTTATGCACTGTGCTTCGCTTAATGCGTCTCGGCAGTGAATGTCTGCTAATGCAGCTGATCTGCCAGGATAAAAGCTGACACGTGGACAAACAGGCTAAGAAGAACCTCTGAAATTTCATACGCACACACAACGCGGGTCTCTTGGTGGGAGAGTCCTGCCTGCAGATGCCACTGTGGATGCGATGTCTCTGAACCAACTCGTCAGCAGACGGGTCGGTCCAGAAGTGATCAGCTGTCTTCATCTTTGTGTACTCCAAAGCACAGGGTCCAACTGTCAACAACGAGACACCGAGGGGAGACACGGTCTTCAGATAGTTTTAAACCTTCCAAACTAAAACCCAACTAAAACAGAGCAGGAGAAACAACTTAAAATCAAATAGATTTTATAATATTTTGAAATTCTAGCCTCATAGTTATTATACAGAGTTGTGAAAAAGAATTAATGAAACATTCAATTCTGTGCTAGCATTTCGATGTCTAACTTTTTTTAAAAATCGCTGGACAAGGGGGTTTTCTTGCATGATCAGCCCATTTCAAGACACCCTACAGTTAGATCTGGGCTTTGACTAGGCCTAAAACCTTCCTTAGTTCTTCTCAGCTAGTACTTGCTGGATTTACTGCCATGTTTTGAGCCACTGTCATTGTTGTTGCAGTTCTGCAGATTCAGCTTTAATTTATTTTTATCGGTGGTTTCACGTGTTCAGCAAGAGACCACAGAAGTTGAACGGGGAGGTGTGCAAGAAGGAAACAGTTGTCTTCTAACAAAAACAGGAAGGCTAAACTGAAGTTTATCGGCGAAAACGTGGGCAAACGTCAAGACTTCTGGAATAACAGATTAGTATAAAACTGATTTATGTGTGCACCAAAACAAAAGCCATAGTTGAGACATTCTAAATATTCCTCCAGCTGTGAAGCACAGAGGTGGATGTATCATGGTTTGGGGTTCTTCTATGCAGCAGGATCTGACCAGCTGAAAAATGACCTCCAGGAAAATGTATGGCCATTTGTAAAAAAGCAACATGAACTGGATCCGCAACATGATAATTTTACCAATACGTACCAACAAACAGGTCAAGAACTACCTGAGAAATAAGAAATGTAAGGTCCTGGTGCCAAGTCAAAGCTCAGATCTTTAACTTATTGATATGCAACAGTCTGTACACTCAGGAGACCCATAAAGCTGAAGTATACATACATTCTTTGTGTAATTAAATCACTTTCGTTTTCCAGAGATAAAAAATTAGACCAGACATCAATATTTGAACATGTCCTAGCAAAGAACTGAATAATGAATGTCTAAGTGGCTTCAAATGAATGTGCATTAATAGAATTTAAAGTAGCAATCAATTGGCTCCAACTATAACATTTCTCTCTACTTGAACCCCTATTATACCAGTCCGATAGCAGGAAATTACATGTAATTACACAAATATGCTCCTTTTTCTGTTTCATTACCTAACAGTGAAGCCAGAATCGGTCCGTCCACAGGGTCCATCAGGATAGCTTCTTTCTCATAGTATTTACTGGAAGAAAATAAGCACAACTTTTATTTTTCTGAAGAAACAGAAACCTTCTACCCCCATATGAGTGTGGTTTGTCAACACACCTGCTGTTCTCCACCAGGTAGAGGACAATCTTATCCAGGACTTTCTCAAACAGAGCCGTCCTGATCCACAGGTTCTTGACCCCAGGAGGGTTGAGGCTCGGCAGCCGGGGCATCCTGCGAAGGCTGTCTTGACTCTGCAGGCTTTGACTTCGTCTGCAGAAAAATAAAAATCAAGCAACCAATTTTTTATTTTATTTTTTTAAAGTACGTTCTCAATTTGCTCTGCATCTTGCAAAGAAGATGAAAGACTCAAAGCCCCCAAATTATTCTGATTATTCAATAACTTCTTCAGAAAATACGTAATTGCTTCCATTGTTCAAACAATCAAGCAGGCTCTGTTGCTCTGCTTTGAGTTCTGCTGTGATGTGTGAGGAGAGGCTGTGACGCGTGCGTCTCTCACTTTGTCTCCATGACCTGCTCCAGCTCCTGGGCCTTCCTGCAGAACTCCTCCGCCGGGGCGAAGCTTTTGCCCACCTTCATGAAGAGCGCTGCTATCTTGTTGCTGCGCAGGAATCCAGCCGCTCGCCGCTTGAGCCCATGCAGGACACATGCCTCCACTGCAGCTGTGAGGACAGAGCATATTTTCTTCATTAATATGTAATTTATTAAAACCAAGCACCAGACAAATGGAGAAGTAAAAGAACAATTAAAACCACTAATTACAACTAAAAGATAGTTATATTACTTGGTGTGTAGGGAGGTTTTGCTCCACTGCTCTTGCACAGTATAGTCACTTAATGCAGTGTTTCCCAAACCTGGTCCGCAAGGCTTGCCGACCTGCATGTTTTAGATGTTTCCCTGCTTCAGCACACCCCATTCAGATGATTGGAGTTCAGCAAAAGCCTGTTAATCAGCCATCAATTGAAATCATGTGTGCTGAAGCCGGGAAATGCCTAAACTATGCAGTGCAGTGTGCCTTGAGGACCAGGGTTGAAAAACACAGAGTTAATGTACTGACAGGACTCCCTTCTTAAACCTTCTGCAATCCTTGTTACTTCTGCATTCTTCAACCATATTTTTACCTTCCACTCAACTTTCCATTAATATACTTATAACTGTACTGTGTCAATGTCTAGTTAATTCATATAACAAAACATTTTACTTGTATCAATTTACTGCAACAAATTACTTTCCAAAGACGTTCTAGCTTATTGAGATGCACTTGCAATTTGGATCTTTTAGTACAATAAATGCACGAGTTTTCAAACACTCACTGATTTCAGTAATGATAAAAGTTACTGTAATTGTCTTTTCTTCCCATATTCATGCAGCATAAATTAATAATGTTGCTACATATATCAGCCAGTATATGTCTCAGGAGTAGGATGCTCCAGATGAAGACATGTTGACACACTTTACTTTAACGTGATGTCGACCGGACCCTGCTTCCTCCCCAAGTCGACGTGGCAGCGCCTGGTTGCTGTGTTGACATTTGAATTTTCTGTCAAGACTAATCCTGCAGCTCTGTTCACATGGGGTCAGGGGGAAAGGATGGGGTTACCATAGCAACCCTTACTGATGGAGTGACGGAGCTTTGGGAGAGACGAGCGCAGGAGTGGGGGGGGGGCAGAGGCAACTTGGGAGGATCACGATCTGCCTCGTTCCACCGTCACCGCTTCAGCAAACAACTTCTTCCTGCATTCTGTCGCTCGTTTCTGTAGAAGTCTTCTTTCCCATGTATTTTTTTCTTTCCTTTTCACCTGACCCTCCCTGCATCCTGGTATCCCATTATTACAAGAGCAGCGAGATAAATGTCAGAACATCGAGGCTTATTAAAAGGTCTCCAATTATAGTCCAGCCTTGCTACTCTCTCATCATCTCCTATAAGTGGTCTCAGATGGCAGAAGTACAACCCCTGCTGCTTTTTCAAATTTGTCTCTCCACTAAGATGCGGAGAAGATTCTGGGAATCTCTAGGTCTGCCGCGAGATGAAAAACTATGAATGACTAAACTAAACTAAGCACAAAGGAATCAGAACACATTTTTATTATTTTGGTGCAGGAGTTTATTGACTAAAACCCACAAAGAAATCACCTTAAAGCCACAGCTGCAGGTGAAAAATGCAACATGAGAGCAGGATCGGTACCCACCTGACAGAAGCAGCTAATTCAGTAAACCGTCTCTAATCACTCTGTATCTGTGGCAACTATAAGTTTAACAGACTGATGTCAGTGGCATGTGGCTGACCAACACTTCGCTCAGAACAGCCAGCAAGGCACCAGCACAGCATTTCACTGTAGAAAGACCTGATATAATTACACCATATTTACCAGAAACAGGTCCAGTTCCATATAAGCGTTGGTTCTAGTTTCTGAAATCAAAAACACACCAACTTCCTCCACATTTTACAGACAAAAAGTCCAGAATGTGCAGTGGCAGGTATTTGTGATGGGGGAAAAAAATGACACGAAGATAAATAATCACAAATCAAAACTTTGACAAGGAAATTAGGGGAGGGAGTTTCAAAAAACAAGAACGTTGCACCGGCCTGTGTCCATTTGTTTGTACATCCTTCAATTAATACTTTGTTTTAGTGCCTTTTGATTTGTCTTTCGTCTGTTTCGCTTGGTTTTTCGTCACATCTACTTATTTTCATTCCTTAAACGCAGCAACAATTTGAAGACAGCTCACAAAGGGATCTCACTGCACAATGTTATCACTGAGGAGTCAGGAAAATAACAAAAAAATCTCACAGCATTAGATGCCATGTGCCTCAAGCAAAGGTATGAACGTCATTCTTCACGTCTAAACTCTCTCAAGATAGCTGGTGTGAGCAAGCATGACATTTTTACATAAATCTTCTGGACTCTCCATATGGACTAAGGCATTGAAATGCAAGATGTGATTCTCTTTATCCAAAGAAAACATCTAGACCTGTCTTCAATAAATCTCTTTGTGGGAGAATGTGTTACGGTCTGAAGGAAGTTCCCTAAAACAGGCTGGATGTAAAGGCAACACAGTAAATCACAGAAACAACAGAAAGAAGGTGATGGCAGCATCATGGTTTCTGTGACATTACAGTTTATATGGAAAAGCCCTCTATGTATGGGAAACAAGTCTAAATCTGTCCTCCCCAAACAAGAAAAGAAAACAATTCTTTTATTAATTATTGTTGTAAAAATCAAACACTTTCTTTTTTACTGTGAGGTAACATAAAGAGCATTTTAAATGTTTCATTATGTATGTTTCATTTTTCTGCAAGGAAAAATCCAATGTGCATGCATGCAGTATATTTACAATGAACTTTTCCAGAGGTAAATGTGTTTCCACTATCAAATAAACAAGCAAGACAGGATCTGAAGGAGAGCTCTGGAAATGTAACAACTAAAATGTAGAAATAAATAACCCCACTGAACATTAGCAGTGAAGTAAGACAGAAATCGAGCTTTTTATGTCCCGAACTCTGATATTTTTCATGTTTCTTCTGAAACATTTTAGTGCCTTTTATCTCAGTCAGCAAACGGGCTTTGACACATTTTCCCTCCAGTTTCTACATTTCATTCAGGCTTGTAGTTGGCAGCTCATAAAAGTAGCCACGAACGAGGAGGTTAATGGCTCCCCAGCGAGCGCTCCTCCTGTCTTCCACTCGCTCTCATCTCATCTCATCAACGACTGCAGCCGGAAAACTACACTGGAGGGGTCAGGAGGTGGAGGAGGAAGCTTTGACAACAAAGCAAGGGGGAGAGGGGCATTTTTTAAAACTGAAACGTGTCCACCAGATATTACAGCAGAGCACGTAGAGGCCTCTATCTGATAGATAATGTCCAGACTGCAGGCCAACAAATCTGTTGGTGTGGCAACGTGGAAGCACTAATGGAAGCACGTAAAGCACATCGGACAGGAAAAATGAGTAAAACAGAGCTTGCAGCAAGGAGTCTTGTAAAATGTAATTTTCATTAGTTTAGGGAAATTAAACTGGAGAAAAGACGGATTCAGTGTGAGCTGATTACTGGAGGGGAAGAATATTAAACCTAGGTGGATATAGAAGGTTTTAGGCAGAGTTGCAAATGTTTGACACACTGTGAAATTCAAATGGACCATATATAAGCAACATTAAGTGGAGGTAATATGTAATACCTTAAAACGCATTATAAATGTTTAATTTTCTTTACTCTGTGGGCTTAATGTTCCACAGCATGCACGATGTAAGCTAACAAATTACATCTTCTTCATTCTGCACCAGTAAATTGTGACAAGCTTGATGCCACTGCATTTTCACAGCAGTAAAGAGCTGATAGACCTTCAGAGACCTGACAGCTCCTCCGTACCTTCACTGGTGCATCTGTTTGCACATATTCAAAAGGTAACACCATGGCGACCGCTCATTTGTTTGCATCACAGCGCTACATACTGACCTGAGTCTGAGTCAAGACGAGGTTTGTGACTTCTCTCACATTTTATTGGGCTTGACGCGTCTCACCTCACGACTTGTCGTTTGTTTGCAGACGTGGTTTTTCACCAGGTAAGAATATCAGATCTTGTGCAAGTTATTTTGTTCACACTGAAAATCCACAAATATATCAGATTCCCTGTTATTCTCTGGCCTGAGCGTTAGTGTCTGGATGTGGGCGGTGTGTTTTCCATGGCGACCAGCGATTTAATGCTTTGATTTGTACGATGGAGCAATAATTACATTTGGTAAATTATTGTAACTATAATGTGTTGCATTTTAGTTATAGTCAATCAAATGTCACTTAAATATTAAATTATGGATGGTTTTTATACTAAATGTTGCAGAGGTAATTAGGCTTTATACAATCCAAGGTTGCTTTTATGTAAAACCAAATTTGGTTGGACTTTTATCTCTGTTCATATACATCTTCATGGTTTTCTAAAAAGTTAAATCAATAACTATGATAATGCATTCCTTTACTTTTAAAATATATTTCTGAATGCACTGCTTCATATATGTTGAGGTCCTTCATTGGAAGCTGCTGTTTATATTCGTGATCTGAATAACACTTAAGGAGAATTGCAGTTGGTTTTGTCACTTTCAAAATAATTTTAATACTGTTAATAGTAAAAATGGATTTAGAAAATTTAGAGACGATTTAGTTACTAAAGCTGTTTTTTTGTGTCCTGTTGATTATATATGTTGGTTTTTAAAAGTTTAAATACACCCAAATGCATTTACAATGTTCCTGATTGTTGTTTTATTATTTTTTTAAATTACAACTTTTGTCTAATTACTTAAGAAAATAAATGAGTTTTTGTTTATTTCTAATTAAACGATGGCAAGCGTAATTATAAACTTTTATATTTTTAGTGTTATTTCACCAGCATAGTTTGTTTTCTTTTCGTTTGTTGGGTTCTGCGATTTTTTTTAATCCTGCATAAATAAAATAAGTTAGTGCAGAATGACAGACTTCAAAAGGTGTAAAAACCTTTGTGTGTGGATTTAGTTCTGATCACGTTCTGCAGTGCATCACTAAAAATGAAGAAAGTGAATAAAAAGTAATTATAAAAAAAAGTCAAATGGATTTTCATGTTATTATTATTATAAATGTTAGTACATGGAAACATCAGCTGTCCACAGTCACAGACGTCCTCAGCAGGACAAACCACAAAATGTTATTGCTAGAGTTCCTGACTGAACACAGTCTTAACTGAAAGTTGAGTGGAAGGAAAAAGTGTGGAAGAAAATATCTGACATATTTTCGCTTCAGTAACTGTAATGAACAATCATCAATAATATCAAAACAATCTGAATACATCTCTTCATGTGTAATAAATCTGCATAATATGAGAATTACTGAAATAAATCAACCTTCTGATTTGATTTACTGCGATGGACCTGCGACCATCAGAAACAGTAGGTGGGGGCCATTTTTTTTTCGTAATAGCAGCAAAAGAATAAATATATATTTAAGCTGTTTAACTCAGTTGAAACATGGCGACAACAAAGTTATGTGATCTTTGAATACTCACCACAAAAGGACACAATGTGGCTGCTGTCTTCGTGAACAAATTTCCTGGTGACAGCTTCCTCCATAATCTGCTTCACCTGTCAATGAAAGAGGAGACGCCGGATGACTCATTCATTATGATGTCACATCAGGCACAAACAGTCTGAGGGGCTTCTTAGAGAGGATCTGACTGAGTGAAAAACACGCTTCAGCTGAGGGAATAATTAGGAGGATTTATTAATGAATGAGGAGTTTAGCCTTAAAAGTTAGGAGCAGGAAAAACTACCAGCAACTGCATGTTCAGTCTGTGGATGAGTCACCGGCTCTTGTGCCAAGGACCGCTGAGAGATGGAGGTCCATTTGGTGCTAGAGGAGGGCAGCTTGTACATCACAGACCTCCATTTCTAAGCAATTACCATCGCTCGGTGAAATCAGATGATTATGTTGCAGATTAAAATGCAGATGGAGACTTCATACTTTTTAATTTAAAAAAAAAAAAAAAAAAAAAAAAGACGATTCACATCGGATGCAGGGAAGCGCTCATTAGTTTGGCTTTGTTGTCGATGTGTCCTTCTCCCCGCTGACCTGACAACTGCCACGCACCACGAGTTAAGAGGAGCGGTGAATCAACCCCTGTGGTGACTATGGAGACGCACTCCGGTGTGGGCACCGCTCTGCAGTCTGGATGGGGAATATCAACCTCCAGACACGGCCACGCAGATAGCTGAGCTGTAATTTCCTGCTGAAATTAGTCTGTCCACAAAGAACGCATTACACTGCCAGGCTCATCAGGCAGGCACTCTCTCTGCATGCTGGACATGCATATGGCTCTCTCTGCGAGGAAATTTGTGGACATAATATGTTTCACAAAGTTCCGTCAGCCCAGTGCACAACTGAGCTGAAATCCATAATCGTCACAGACGTGTTGAACACAGCAAGGTAAAAAGTCACGGTGCAGCTTTCAGAGGTAACATGTTCTGCACTTCGACGCAGGTGCCAACACAAAAGCTGAGCCAAACATGCGGAGACAGCGACAGCCAGCAGGAACACTTCAGCACTCGCCTGACAAATGGTACTTCACGATTCAGTCATATTAAGTCAATCAGCAGAGCGAAGCATTTAGGTCATAAACAGTTTACTCTGTCTGAGCTAACATGTCCTTTCAAGCTGCTAATCATATGCTCTTAGACTCAGAAATGGCCAAATCAATGAGACACAAAATGCTAAAATATACACACATATGACCTAAATATGTCAAGATTTCAGGTCAAAGAACATCCAAAGGCGATCTGGAAGCAGACTGATTTAAAGGAAAACCACACATAAAACAGGAGGACAACAGGCAAACAAAATAAAACACTTGAATCCCACTGGATTAAAACATAAAAATAAACAATGCAAAAATATTTATACTTTTAAGCCTCCATTTGTGCATAAATTTGTGCTTTCAGCTGATGAAGCAGAACATTTTGAGTTAGAAAACATCAGAATGTGAGCCTAATGAAAGTATGCTTAAATATTTTTATCAAAACAATGTCATAATTTATTCAATATGGCCGCAGATAATTTTGATTAACCAAATATCAATGTACATTATTGAATAATATTTTACTCAATGTAACAGTCAACCACATAACACTTCATTTATTTACATGAAACCTGAAATTTTAGACAGACATGCGGTTTTTCATAACGTCACAATCTTATTTTTAAGTAAATTCTAACTAACTAACTAACTAACTAACTAACTAACTAACTAACTAACTAACTAGTTAGCTAGCTATAGCAAACTAGCAATGTTAGTCTTCTCACATCTAATGAAAGATTTAATCTCTGTTTTATCACACTTGTGGAAGCTGAACCTGGTCCAAACTGCACTCCTTGAAAATATTTACTTACTCATATGGCACTGACTAATTAGAGCGCAGTCATTAGAAACAATCAGTGCCATTGTTTATTTCAGCTGCAACAGAAATGATTCATACTGCCAACACAACAGAGACAGCAGCAGTCTGATGAGATGCCTAGCAGCTTCAACTCATGAATATACTGCTAAAAAAAGAACGCACGCACGCGCACACACACACACACACACACACACACACACACACACACACACACACACCAACACAGGAGACTTAGTTCCCTTGGCTTCCTTTCCTGAGTTCACCTGACAAGAAGAAATTTGATTGATTTGCTCACTTGTGTCCCCTCGTCCCTCTCATCTAGGCTACTGATCAGCCCTCTGAGGAATAAGTCTGGCAAAGCGTCTGTGCGCTGGCAACCTGAGGGTTTCTATGGAGATGTCACGAGTCTCAAAGTGGAACTCTCTCACCAAAAAGATGCATAAAAAAACAACATTAATTCATCTCTGACACAAATAGGAATGACTGCAGCTCCAAGCTTACAGTCACCAATAACATCTAAGTCATCAGTAACACAGAGATCCACCACTTTAAAGTTATGTTTTCACGCACATTTTGTAGCCAAGCAATGTTTTGGCAACTTCTAATGCAGCAAAGTTGTGTGAATCTACTCTAACTAATCACTGTCTTGAAACCAACAGCTTTACTGATAAAAGATCTGCTGAGCACTCCAATTACATCCTGTAATAGCAACAAATAGCAGCCAGAGAGAAAAACTAATTTACTAACATCCACCCTCCATTATTCAATGTCTGTGTGGTCGGTGAAGAATGACGGGAGCAAGGAATGAAAAAAATGAAAACGCTAAGTCACGACTGTTGCGTATGTAAAGCTGATGCATTAGTTTACGAGGATGTTTTTATTGCACATGCTGGTTTGAACTTCGTCTTCGTCGATCAGGCAGTTCATCATCTCAAAGTTGAGGCAACATGTTAAGATTTTGAACCTCAAGGAAGGAGGCAATCCTGTTCCAGCAGCTCCAAAAACCTCATTATGCCCATCATTCACCTAAGGGCCACAAACAGGATCACAGTCTGTGATGTGGTGATGTGGTCATGTTTATCCATGTGCACGACGGTAGTGATATTTGATGATTTCCCTGAGCTTGTTGCCGTGGAATGAATTAATCAACCTTGCATTAACACTGTCCATCAATACACCTCAGTGGCACAGAGAAATCTGTTCAACCCTGAAACAAAGACTGAAAACGGCTCACAGGAAGCAGGAAAGTAAAGGGTGCTGCTCTCTTTCACTCACTCCTTTGGCAAACACAGGTGTGCATTTGTGTTTGTTTGTTAAAGCATGATACGTGGAAAAGGCAGAGCGTGACACAGTGACACAGGCAGATTGAGTGAGGCTCCGTACTAAAGACCAGGCAAATAGGAACTCTTATTCACGCCAATTTTCTGCCAGCGAGGTAATTCTGCTACCGCAGACGGGCTCGGTTCTCTGGATAATTTCCCACATCCAGGTACGTCTGAGCAACCGGGTGGTATAAAACCGGCTGGATGGGGACGGAGCGTAAACACGCAGCATAGAGACACCATATGGCACAGCCCGCACCAAGCAATATAACTCATAAACCAATGGAAAATGGCGCAAACAAACTTATTTTTTCATCTACCTTCTGAGTGATCACAGAAAAAAATAAATAAATAAACAACATGTGGGGCACAGTGGAAAAGCAATGGAGAGAAACATAAAGTATATTAGTTTATAAATGGCTTAAGCTTCCGTGTTTCAGTGAGGATTTATTTATCACAGTATCACAGTTAGTGAACAATCGAAAATCTATGTTTCAACAAGAAGCCTGCATTTCAGTTTGTCTTCAGGTTGACAAAAATGTTTCCTCTATAAAGGATAAATATGAAAATACCTACATTGGAACAGCAACCATCATAGAGTTTGTAGCATCAAGCATTGCAGGGTTTCATATTACTTTTTGTAAAAAATGATTTAAGCTGGCTACATTCATATTGTTTCTTCACAGGGTCACAATGATCAAAAATGTGAAAACAGAAGCTACTACGTTTGATAGGCTTAACCGTTTCAAATGTATTGCTCTGAAACTCTGCTTTCCAACCATACATTTGGCCAAATGGTGACATTTCACTGTCCTTTATGCTCACATCTTATTGAAAAGCTTGAAAGGATATTGTGATGAACGGAAGATAAGCAACAAATTGAGGAAAATGCACACAATACTCAGCAGTTATATTCCAGCATCATGTTTTCCTGATATCGTGCAGGTCTAATAAAAATCCATGTGGGATCAAAGTGAGCGGTTCACACAATGAACCACGTCCACAGACCCAACCCGTCCACACATGGCTCCAGCAGCTACACATAAACAATGCAAGCGAATAAAAACTGAATAGAGTCACTGTGAGTGAAGCTAATTGAGAACAGAGTTTAATCAGAGGAAGGGTCTGGCCTCCACAGATAAGACAGCAAACAGGAAGCAAAGGCAGACAAATCCGACCAGAGTCTTTCCATTTTCATTTAAATAAGGATGCAAATTTAAGGATTTTGTTAGCCAGAAAAACAATCCTGCCATTTATAAAGCATAAGAAAATGGTTTAAAATGCTAATCGTAGCAGAGATAGCAGTAGCTGTTGTTGAAAAGCAGGTTGGAGTCTTGCTCTTGCATTAGGACATTCTTAAGTCATTTTGATTTGTATAATTATAGTTTGATTCACAATCTATACAAAGTACTGATGGATCTGAACAGGTTAGGGTACAGATTCCTGTAGTATGGCAAGTAAAAATACCACAATTTAACATTACCGCAATATTTATAAGAAAAAATATAAACAAAAATGTTAAACATTATCTCACTGTTTTGTTTTTAAAACAGAAAACCAAATTACTTCATCTGTACAATGATGCTACTGTTATCTAGAACATTTAGCTGTTGTTATTTTGATGCATAGACCAAAGCAAAAATATAAAATAACCCCCCAATAAATTCAGAGGCAGTTTTTAAGAAAACAAGGTTGTTGTGCAGAACTACCAGATGTGTAACTAGGAGTTTGCCAAGTAGCACATCTGTGAAGAGACACTCTTGTAGATTGTCATCATAACAGTCTGTGTGTTTTTTAAAATAGCTGTTCTTCCTTCCAGCTGACTTGCAGTGCACAGCAACAGGTGGGGGAGGTGCACTGCTGCTGCTCTACGCTTTCAGACAGCAAGTGAAAAACCTTCGGACTCTCTCTCACTTCCAACCGTAGCAACAATATGATGGTAATTTGTGGCGGTTTTTAAACTTTAACGTTTAAAAACCTGGAATACCTTGCTATCAGTTATGTGTCTGACTGAGGGTGTTAGTGGAGCTTTGCACTAATAAATGGTTCATTTCTTAAACACTTCCACCTCTCAAAATAATAAAAAAAAATATCCTGCAGCCGATTCACTGAAGTTTAGTTAGTTGCTTTATTGCTTTCATCTCAGCTCCAGATGTGTTAAAAATAAAGAAACGCAGTAAAAACAGACGTTAGACGAGTCACTGTATAAACCTCTCCTTAAATAGATGCTGATGCAGGAAGAGGTTTGCATCTCAACCCCTTCCCAGTTTGCTGTGAAAATATGGCAAAGTCTAAGACATAGTTTCCTCAGACAGTGTCTTATGGAAAAAACCGATACTGTTGTTGAAAATGCGTCGACAGCTCTTTGATAAAAGCTCCCTAATCGTCTGCAAGGATTTCTTCTAATCTACACAGGGAGTGTCGTCGTTGTTTAAATGTCAGGCCAACTAAACAATCCTAATGTTTCATTCAAGATCTGCTTCTTTATGCTTGGGAGGAAACCCAGATGATCAAATCATTGCGGCTGCTTCCATGTTTGCTTCCACTAAATGCAGTAAAATTAATTACAAGCATCTCTTCCCCTCAACTCCCCCACCCCTTTCTATTTTCTTTCTCTCTTTCTCTCTCTGTTTGTCTCTCTCTCTCTCTCACACACACACAAAATTATATCCAAATAAAACAACCAAATGGTGCGTCAGAAGACTGATGATCTCCTTTGCTGTGAATGCCAGACAATCTGCTTCCTTTGTGCCTCTTCTTCCCTCTGAGCTCCAGCAAAGTAACAATAACAAGATCACAAAAAATTCTTAATCATTTATGTTTTTTTTATTATTATTATTTATTTAAACTAACTGTTATTTCCCAAAACAGGTCTTTCATATCAGCCACGTTTATTCAAACCATACTCAGATATGAGAAGCGGTGCCCAAACATGGTGTGAGCCATATGAGTTGTCACAATCTCTGTGAAAGTTTGACAGAGTGCAGCTTTAGCAATAAAACCTTTATAGGGCAGTTTTTGTTTTCCCGAAACGATTTTCCTGATGATGTGAAAACACCCACCTCCTTTTTGACGGTGCGCAGCAGCTTCTGGCGGGTCTCCGCTTCTGAAACAAAGCAAAGAAGACACAAAGGGTTCATTTTCTTCGTCTTGGAGGATAGTTCTCCGTCCCCATGCATTGGCAACAATCTATATATGCGCTATAAGTATAAATGTAGATAATTTTCTCCCACCTGCCATGATTGTTGCCATGGATCCTGCCTCCTGCACGAGCGCAGCACCTCTCCCTGTAGCTGCGTGTGAACCCAGATGGAGCTCGCGGCTCCTCCTCTGCTGAGCGCACGAGCTGGGCTGCCATTGGCTGAGCCGAACGCCAATTCAACCGGGTGATCGTGGAGCTGTAGAGCCGTATGTTTAGTAGCCTTCTAATACTGTTAAAAATATATGTGTGAGTGTAAATCTGTGGAAAAAAAAAAAAAAGAATTTTTGAAGATTATTAAATATCTGTTTTTAAAATAACTTAACTACAATTGAGTTGAGAATTACAACTGAGAAATCACTTGGTAAAGACAAAGAAAAAGATTTCCAATATTAAGAAATGTGTTGAAATTATTAAAATAGAGAGGAAGACCAGCTTCAAACAGCAGCAGAGATGCAAGCAGCTCTACGAGACAATGCAATATATACAAATTTCCATTTACTTGAAAGATTTCTGAACTAATAAAAAGGGCTCTTGAATTTCGCATCTTATGTGGAAAGTGGAGGGTTTCTTGCAAACCACTAAAAATGGTGGTAGCTGCATATTTACACATTTAAGAAATTATTTTATTCTTTATTCTGTTTTATTTATATTCTATCTGTGTGTGAGTTTGCTTGTTTTGATTACTTGTCACTTATCTGGTGTTGCACAGAAATATTGTCACTCTGGGACAATAAAGATTATTTATATTCTACTATTCTATTCTACTCCATTCTATATCTTAAATTAATCATTTAGACATTAAGTAAATGTTCAATCTTTACTGAACATTCACTTAAGGCTTGTGTCAGTTCGTAAGTGCTATCGTAACTAACAGTGACAGCTTCTTACAGGTAGTGCACATGGTACGAAATTATTTCCAAACTAAAAATTGCAAGCTGAGTTTTGAGTTTCTTTCTACAATGCTCTCAGTGCCATCTTGTGGTCAGCATTAGGAAAAGCAGTCATGAGGTTCCATCCGCATCAGAAAGAGGAAGAAGACATAAATGGTTACTGTCCAATAATTACCTCTTGCTCAAAGTTTAGACAAACTATTGCGATCATTAGCAGAGTTTGAGCTAGAATCCCTTACAGGATTTTTTTTTAGCGATCAAATTGCTAAAAAAGATTCAGAGTCTTAGGTATTCCAAGCCAAATCTGATCCATCTCAGCTTACTCCTTTGACGGAGCTCTTCTATGGAATGAAAATAGTCTCAAAATATCTGTGCGTGTGTAAAAAAAGACTAATTTTCACTTTGCTTTATGCTTTATGACCGCTTTGTCTGTAATCTCCCACTCACAATAATAAATATAAACTTTTATTTATTTATTTTTTCTTTAAGAGAGGCCCAGAGGGATTTATTTACAATCACTAGACAGGAAATGGGTAGAGAGGGAAGGTGGGAAGATGTGCAGCAAAGGTCACAGAGTTGGGAGTTGAACCCAGGATGGATGTGCTGAGCATCGTAGCCTCTGTTTAAACGAAGCGCTCGCTTTACACCTACACCACGCAGCTAAATATTACTACAAAACCATATATTCTGTTTTAAACTCTTTAAAACCTGAAGTTTAATTTGCTCACAGTGAATCAGATTTCTTAAATATTTTTGATGTGTTCTGCAGCAGTAAAGCTTCAGGATTTTAATTTGGGTCTCAGTTGTTTCTTGGAGTTTGGTTGACCTTTCTCTGACCTTTCTTCATGTCCATCAAAACAACATCAGGCAACGGATCTGATGCAGTTCTGCTAGTAACTCTTTTACAATCACTTTGTTGTTGCAGAAATCCCAAACGAACTGGAATGAAAAAGTTTTTTGTGGACAGGCTGCAAAACAGTGCAAGATACTGTACTGCTGTCCAGAAGGTGGCGATGGCATCGAATCAGTTCTCATGTCCAATCCCATGAGAATCCCAACAGTCTGGAGTTTTTACTGCTTATCTTTTAAACATATGTACAGCATATGAATGAGAGCATTTTCAGTAAAGTACGATCTGAGCAAGAGAAGCTGCTACAAGCTCCAACGAACTCCGGTGTGATGTCTGGGGGTGATCGGTCCGGTTCTGCCTGCAGGTCTGAGCTGTCAGGTGAATCAGGTGGTGAAAAGACGGAGGGATAACAGAACATGACAGACTGAGAGCAGTGAGGCCAGAGTCCTCTTTCCCTCTGTTAACCTCATAATCATCTTTGACCCAGGATTCCCTGTCTGGGATGTCACTTTGCTACGGTTTCAGATAATTGGGGATAAAAGCTTTTCTGTTTAAATCTTATAGCAGGACTTTTGGCTCAAATCATCACCAGTTTCTGTTCAGGAGAAAAATAAATGTTTCATTTCAGCCATCCTGAACTGCAGCGTTGTTCTTGGAGGAATTAATGTTACAAAAAATTTAATTCCAGCCATTTAGAGATTGATTAAAGGAGACGGAGTTTCCTTAAAAGTTAGCATGTAACAGCTGCTGTACATTGTAAAAAAAAAAATCCACATTTCAGTTTATAGATTTGTGGTTTAACATTGATTTTTGGATGATTTTGATATATTTTTTTATGTTTAAATAAACACATTTGTTTTTTTTTTAAGTAGAAAGCAAATTTAAACTTCATTAAATTTCAGATTGTTACTCTATCATAAGTAAAAATATGTTTCTTATTTTAATTAAACATCTTCCTTTGTCTACACATAATTCCACAGTAATTTCACAATGTCTCTGACTACTCTACTGCGTCCTCCTCCTTCCTTAAATTTTGAGTTATCTGCTGTAATTTCAACTTTATATTTTATCTTCCTTCAGTTTTTGACGCTTTACAGGAGCTTCTTCATCTTGCAATATTTTTCTTCCATGTACAAAACACATTACACTGTCTTTCAAAGTTTAACCTTGTCTCTGTTGTATATTGGCTGACCTCTTACTGAAACTAACTTAATGCTCGCTTTCATTCTTTCGTCTTGAAAACTGCCTCAAAGCTGATCTGCTTAGCAGTGTCTCTCTCCTAGATGAAGCCACCAAAGGAGCTACTATAACGTAGAAGGTGCTTTCAGATCGGTGCTTCTCATTCTTTAATGCATGTCTTCTTAAGCCTCCAGTAGGTCATAATAGATCATTCAAATTAGTGAAAAAGAGTTTTCTACCCGAGGAAACCTAGCAGGTTTCACTGCAGTCATTGACTTTCAGTGTTTACGCCTCCTGGAGCATTCACTTCCAAACCCTTTTCTGTCCTGTCCCTCCAGCCTCCATTTTCTGACACTACGGCACTTATGAGGTGCATTTTTAACTGAATTTGACACTTTTTTTTTTTTTGCATACACTGATGGGGAGGTTTCGCAAGAGCAGCACATTGTTGATTTGCAGAAAGAAGCTGCGGGGTTGAAACAAACTCATGCACTCAGAAATCTTCTGTAATGAAGAAAAAAAATGTAAAATGAATTTCTGAAATGCAATTAGAAGTAAAGGAAAAAGAAGGACTGACTGCGTAAACAGAGGGAAGTCTGAACTCCATTCAACAGAACAGAGGAAAACTACATTGTTACCTCAGCGTGACATTTTAGATGCATTTCAGATTACCTCGCCACACTTATAAAAGTCCAGCAGTCCAACCTGCCAGGGAGCAGTGCGGTGGGCAGGGCCAACGTTCACCTGTCCGTGTGTGATTAGAGTCGACGGGCTCCAACAGGCAGCAGGGCATGTGATACAAGCTGCTGTCAATCTGATGTTCTCCTGGCCGTGTATGCCAGCACACACCGACAAGGCGGTGTGCTTCAGAAGGCCAGTGATACAAGCTGTGGAGCTAAAATGTTGTGATGCTGTTGGCCCTCAGGGACCCTTGCATTTTGGCTCCACAACCTGTGCCGTTTTTGTTTTCTCGGTTGTTTGTTTACCTATCCTACACAGCCAGACAGGAATCTAAAAGTATCTTTGTATTAAAATTAGTGAAAAGCAAACCATAATTTCATCATTTCCTGGCTCAGGTGGCAGTACATCTTCAGTCACGTGACACCGGTCCAGACAGTTTGGCTACCACTTGGCCTTTTAAGTGACAATTCCCCGACGAAGCTGGATGCTTCTGCTCCTATCTCATACTGGGTCATATCCATTTTCTCTGTTACTTCCTGCTCACACAAGATTGCTGCTCCCACAGTGTCCAGTCAGTAGTCTTTTAGTCTACTCACAGCTGAACTGCTGGGATTTAATTGTGGTGTTTTCACCAAACCACATACACATCAGGATGGCGAGATATTTGAAAGAGCAATCATCAGTTCACTTACTTTAAACTTGATCATCATTTTTCACTGGACTTGTTTCCCTAAAAATTTTAACATATCTCATTTGTTTCACTTTCTATCTTTTTTCAAATTTGTTGTTTAGTTTGACCTTTTTGCTTTGTTGAGGGGCAGCTTAAAGTTAAGTCAAAAGGTCAAGAAATAGACATTTTTTTTTTGTAAAAATATTTAATGGATTGTTTTGGTTTTTTTTTTCTGTCCAAGCCATCCGTTAAAATCCAAAATTCAAGCAATAAATTCAAACTTAAGAAAGAACGGTCATTCACCTAATTTGACAGGCTGGTCAGAAGCTGCATACTGACTCTGGAGGAGCTGCAGAGATTCACACCTCAGGTGGGTCTTTATGAAAGCCGCATGAAGTCCTGTTTGCAGAGACAAAGCACAAAAAGTGCTCTGGTCAAAACAATATTGACCTACATGTAAAACATCAAAAATTAACATTGCACACCTTCCTCACAGTAACACATAGTGGTGGCAGCATTATGCTATGGGGACACTTTTTTTCAACCAAGTTGGGGAAATTGATTAGAGTTTATGGGAAGGAGGATGGATATAAATCCAGGACAATCCTTAAAAAGAATAAAAATACTGGTTAAAAGCTGCAAAACATTTGAGACTGCAGGTTCACCTTCGACCAACAGCCCTAATATCCAACCAGAGTTAAAATGAATGGGTTTAGATCAAATACAATTATTATTTTTATTTCAAAATTGATGTTTGCAGATGCTCTCCAACCAATTTTTTTTTTCTGACTTTGGGCTATTTTGCAAAGAAGACAAAATGAAAACGACACATCTTAAGGATAAGCTGAA